CTGGGAGGAGGGTAGAGAGAATAGTGCAACAATGAATGAGTGGAAGCCCAAAATCTCTGTAAATGTTTATGAAAATTAATAAAATAAAATTATAGAAAAAAAAAACAAAGAAAGACAATATAGTCATGAGAAACAGGTTAGGGAATTAAAGAGGTCAACCTAGCAAGGAAAAGATGTATGGGGAAACATAAGAATTGTTATATAAAAGGCAATTGGATGTTATGCTTGTTTGAATTTTGATAATAGTAGAACACATGTTTGTTCTTGTTGAATACCAGTTACAAATCATGGATCTAATCATGTAGCCCTAAGATGTTATTTCTATCTTACATGACAGAAAACTGAAGCACGGAGAGATTAAGTAATATGACCTAGATCATATAGATAGTAAAAGTGTGGTGGATATTGGAACTCAAGCCTATGTTTCACACAATTCCTTCTCTTTCCACTGTACTAATATCTTTGTCTCAAATGATAGGTTTGTTGTTATTGTTGTGTACCGTTGAGTTGGAACCAAGCCATAGCTGATCCTCCAGTGGGTTTTCAGAGGCAGTTAATGGCACAGGAGGAGATTGCCCATCCTTCCTCTATGGAAAAGCTAGTAGCCTTGAACCGCTTGACTTGGGGATTGCAGTGCAGCTTCAGTGAAAAGATTGTTCTTCTTTCCATCTATTCAGCTACTGAAAACCCTAATAACTTTTTGCATTTGGAACAGAATGATGCTAATGATATTACTGTTATACCTTATGCCTCTTGACGAAATCAAATGGGAAGTCATTTCCCCTTATGGTCTTGTTTTCCAATATCTTTCCTAGGATGAAATGTCCCTGTGTTTTGTGATAACCATAAGCCATCCAATTTAGTCAGTAAAGAATTTTCTTCTTAGGAGACAGGCAATGCTGCTTCAAGTTTTCATGAAGAAAACCTTGTCTTCAGCACACTGGACTTCTTTGTAGGGACAGAGACAACAACTACAATACCGGGCAGAGCTTTGCTTTGCTTTCCACAGCCTTTTACCCAGAAATTCAAGGTGAACATGTATTTGAATGTGCTTTGGCCCACTCACTTACATCAAGTAGATCATTATGCATGGTGACCTTCTATCAGGTTTTGAAGACTCTAATATTTACAGGAAAAGATATTTTCATTTTCTCAAGGAGTGCCTGCCTGATAGATTCAAACTACCAGCCTTTAGGTAAGCAGCCCAACACATAATTCACTTCACCTTCAAGCCTCTTATGCCTGGATTAGTACAGACAAAATGACTTGCAGCATTCAGCCCCGCATTGACACCAGAAAACATGACAGGATGAAAAGATAGACATAACTGTCACATAGTTACACATGAGACTCAAGAAGCAGCACATTCTGTAGTATTTTTGTCAGGGATTTTGATGCTTCTTTTCATTCACATGTGCTGTCCCTCTTCTACTAAGAATGTATTTCCTCAGTTTCTCCACTTAGCAAAAAAGTTCTTCTTAAATGATTTATTTAGTTTTTGTTGTTGTTGTTAAATGCCATCAAGTCAATCATGACTCATAACGACCCTATGGACAAAAGACCTTAACCCTATTTTATAACTATTGCCATTTTCCCAAGTTCATATAGTTTCCAGAGGCATGTTGTTTAGAAAGTGGATGCCACTCCTGCTTTCAAGGCTGTCTTAATCTGGGAGCTCCACCAAACACTGTTAACCATGTTGTTATTATATGTTGTCAAGTAGCCCGCAACTCATAGCAACCCTATGTACAACAGCCCTAAACCCTGCTCTATCCTGTGCCAATCTTACCATCTCCAACACAACTACCCCAGTCACTGAATCAATTCACCTCATCAAGGGTCTTCCTCTCCTGTGCTCTTCCTCCACCCTTCCAAGCATGATGCCGTTCTCCAAGGACTGGTTCTTCCTTGCAACAAGTCCAGAGTATGTCAGACGAGCAGCCAGGCTTACCTTTCTCTAGGATGAACCTGTTAATTTTCTTAGCAGTCCAAGGTATATTCAATACTCTTCTCCAACACCACAGCTCAAAGGCATCAATTCTCCTTATATCATCCCTAGTCACTGTCAAGCTCTCTCTGACACATAGCAAGTGATTGCAAAGACCATGATCTATATCAGGTGCACCTTAGTCTCCAGAGTGACACCATTGCTCAGTACTTTGGAGAAGTCTCTGACAGCAGATTTCCCAACGCAATACATCTTTTAATTTCCTGGCTGCTGGTGACAAGAGTGTTGATTGTGGAGCCAAGCAAACTGAGGCTGTTTACAATCTCAATTTCTCCACCATCCATTAGGATGCTGCCAATAAAACAAATAAATCTCTCTTCGTTGCTCATCGGAAGCAAGGATAGTGAAATTTCCTCTTACGTACTTTGGGTATATTGTTAGTAGGGACCAGTTAGAAAAAGACATCACACAGTGAAAGGTCAAAGGTGAAAGAAAGACAGAAAGACCCTCAGCAAGATAGGTTGACACAATGGCTGTAACAATGTGCTTGAGCAGAACAGAGGTGGGGAGGACAGTGCAGATTAGGGCAAGTTTCAGCAAAATTGTTCATAGGGTCACCATGACTCGGAGTTGACTGGGTGACACCTAACTGTAATCACAACAACAGGTGTAAGATCTCCTAGGAATCCAGTTCCTAGTGAGTGCCCTAGAAAACTCTGGTGGTAAGGAGTTGTGCTGGCAACCCAAAGTTAGGAATCAGGCTGGAATCCATCAGTTGGTCCACAAGAAAGAGGGGCAACAGCAAACTCTGCCCTGGTGATGAAATGCTTCTGAAAAACTCCTGGAGGGTCAAATAGGGGTCAGTTCTGAGTTAACAGTACACAAGTGAGCTGCTTCACCCAGTATAATTTCTTGAGGTGGCTGTTATACGCCTTGGAGTGGACTATGATTTACAGGGGCCACATGAACAGTAGATCTGAATCCGACCCTACCCTGTGTCTTTTGTGATCTCTGACAAGCTTAAGCCTACAAATACAGAACCACTACCACTGTGCCAATCCATCTAGTTTAGGAAGTTCTTTTCTTTAGCCAAGACTTTCCCAGCATGTTGTCTTTTTCCAAGGACAGGTGCCTGGGGACTCAGAGTGGGGAGGTTGCAGGTTGGAGAAAACAGGGCGGTGCTTGGGGTTGAGCGTTGTAAATGGAAGGGACCAGTCCTTGGAGAGAGACATGATGCTTGCAAAGGTGGAGGGACTGCGCAGGAGAAGACCCAGGATGAGATGGACTGACTCAGTGACCGGAGAAATGGGATTGACTTTGTCAGAGATCATGAGATTAGCTCAAGACAGAGCAGGTTTCAGAGCTATGCGACCCGATGGCCCATAACAACAATGTAGACAGTTCAGGGCGGAAGGAGGGGAGCGAGGAGCGCAGGGCGAGCAGCAGCGGGAAGTGGTCAAGGACAGGGCGGGGCGGCGCTTGGATCCAGGAACTAGGACCTTAATTAGTACAGAAAATAGACGAGCTGCTGCATCTTCCAGCCATGCTGGCCGTGCTGGGCTCCCTGGCTGCTGCCCTCTGGGCAGGGCTCCATCTCCGGACCCTCCTGCTGGGCGCCTTCGTCTTTCTGTTCTTTGTTGATTTCCTCAAAAGACGCCGCCCAAAAAACTACCCTCCTGGTCCCCCGAACCTACCTTTCTTTGGCAATTTCTTTCAACTGGACTTTCAACAGCCGCAGCAGGCCTTTCAGAGGGTAAGATAGGCCAAGTTTTCTGAGCTACAAGTATTCTGGGGAAGTGGGGAGAGATGAAGTTGTGATTCTAAAGTGCTGGGTTACTTGTTAATCTACAGCCTATTGAGAGAACTGGCCAGTGGCTCTCTGCCCCAGAAAGAAAGGACAGCCAACTTCTGTTGAAGATCGTTATGCTTTTTTTAAAGTGCCTTTGAGTAGGAACTGGCTTTTCAGAGGAAGTAAATGCCGTGGAAGGAGATTGCCAGCGCTTCTCCAGCAGAGCAGCATCGAGAGGATTCGAACCGCAGACTTTGAAATTGTGGCACAGCTTGTTACCGCTTAATACACCAAATGGGAGTATTTTTGTTTGGACAATGCTAACGCTAATTCTGGTAACCTGTGGCTTTGAGCGCGGTGAGATAGATGGTGAGGATGGTGCCAGGATCGGCAGTATTCTGATTTGCTGTTCAAAGGATCACTATTAGTGCTAGTCAACTCCGTGGCACATGATGGCAGCAACGTAAGGAAGATAGGGATTTCTGAGAAATGTCTTCCCTCTGTACATCGGGTTATAATAATTAAATTTGCACGTAGAGGGTTCTCCTAGCTGAATCTGTTGGAGAAACTTTAGCATCAGCATATTGTTATTCTTAGTTGTTGTTAAGTCCCATATGACTCATAGCGACTCTATGAACAACACACCTCGACCCTGGCTTATTCTATGTCATCCTCATCATCTCAGACACCATAGAGTTCATTGCTGCCGTTCCTGTGTCAGTCTATCTCATTGGAAGTCTTCCTCTCTTCCATTAGTCCTCCATCTTTCTGAGCATGATGTCCCTTTTCCAAGGAACAGCCTTTTTCTAGCAACATCTCCAGAGGGTGACGTGCAACTTCGTTATATTTGCCTCCAAAGAGCACTCTGGCTGCATCCTTTCCAAGACATTTACATCTGTCTGTTTTGCAATCCATGGAATACACAATTCAAAGAAAACACTGTTTCTGCTGTCATTCTTTTTCATTGACCAGCTCTCAGATGTATTAGTAGATGATTGAAAAGATCATGGACTGAATTAGGAACACATTAGTCTTCAAGCTGACATCAGTTACTCTCAAGTATTTTAGTGAGGTCCTTGAGAGCGGACTTGCCCAATGCAATATATTTCCTGATCTCCTGACTGCTGGTAACAAAGAGGCTGATTGCTAATCTAAGCAAGATGAAATCATTGACAGCTTCAATCCATTCTCTATCTGGGACAGGATGCATGCTCTATAGTAGTTCCTCTGCTTTGAATCCTTCCATCCTTCTTCAAGAAGTTGTTGTTAGGTGCTATTGTTTTGACTATGACTTAAGGAAGCCTATGAACACAGATTGGAGCATTGCTTAATTTGTTCAAATTAGGTCAGTCTTTGATTATAACAGGTGTTTCTGTGCTTGTGCAGAACACTGCTTGAAATCAGCTGCTGTGAGGCCACTTTTTAGATGAAAGGATGTTCACAGACAAGATTAGCTGACTAAGACAGGATGTGGGAAGAACTCAGGCACCTGTTAGTACGAAAAATTGCCATCAAGCGTGACGTGCCTCTTCACCCTTTATAAGTTATCCTGTGGGCCCTGTCCTACCTCAGTAACATTCACTAACAGGGTGGATCCCAAAATTTTGAAGCTAAGCATATGCTATTGTTTTAGAAATGTGTTGTTTCATTTTTAAGGATTTGTAAATTTTCATGTCACCTTTCTGTTAGTAATTTTCAGGTGATTTGACTGTGATTGGAAAATATACTTTAGATGATTTTCAGTATGTTAAGGTTTATTTTTTTGACCCAATATACTATCCGTCTTAGTAAATGCCCCCTTTGTGTACTGGTGGTGTATTATTACATTAGTGCAGATTGAAATTAAGATCAGCAGTTCGAATCAAGCAGCTGCTCTGATGGATAAAGTCTCTTCCTTTAAGATTTATAATTCAGGAAACCCAAAGGAAGGTTGCTGTGAGTTGGAATTGACTTGATGGCAGTGGAATTTTGTGTGTTTAAATATATAAAAACCTCAGTGGTGGTAGAATGTTATTAATGTCAATTAGATCCTGTGGCGTGAGGCTTCTCTATTTGTTGTCCTTGTATCTGCTGATAAAAAATTGATTCTGTTACTTATCAAGAGAGGAATGTTGAAGGCTTGAACTATATTTAGGGATTTATTTAGTTCTCAATTTAGCTGTCAGTTTTCCCCTCAAGCTACTTGGTAGCTCCGTTCTTTAGGTTGTATGCTTTGAAGATTGTTATTTCTTCTTGAGGGAACTTTGATGGTGTAAGTAATCCTTAGAGAATTGCACTGCTAACCATGGAGGAGCCTTAGGTACCAGTGGCTCTGAAGAAAAAAGATGAGCCATCTCTTCCTATGCTATTTACAGTCATCAAAACCCTTTGGAATTTCAACTATGAGCCAGTTCTGTCTAACTCAATACCAAAGAATGAGTGAATGAGTGATGCCTTTTTACTGAATTGTATATATGATCATGTAATATACTGATAAACTGCTTTTCTCTGAAAAAGAAATCTGAAATTGATATGTTGCTTTTGTTAGATGCCATCCTATGAACAATAAGTCAAAACCTTGCCCTTTCATGCATAATTCTCAGAATCTCTGCCATGCTGAAGACCATTGTTAAAGTCATTTGGTTGATCAATCTCATTGAGGGTCTTCCTCTCTTTCTCAGACCCTCTACCTTTCCCAGAATGATGTCTTTATCCAAAGACTAGTACCTCCCAACAACATGCCCATAGGGGCACTCTAGTTACATTTCCTCCAAGACTAATTTTTTTGTTCCTTTGGAAGTCTGTGGGTTACTCAGTATTCTTCTCAAACACTACAATTCAAGGTAATGATTCTTCTTCAGTTTTCCTTATTTATTGTCCAACAGACAAATGGATAAGAAGCAATTGAAAATACCATGGCTTTGATCTGGCACACACCTTAGTCTCTCTTAAAAAAAAAATAGGAGATTTTATTCAAAGTTTATAGAGAACTTGGATTTCCATTCATTCATTGTGGCACATTTTCCTCCCTGCCCACCCCTATCCCCAATTTGCTTTTCTCTTTGAAAAAACAAAAACTGAAAAACAACCTTTCATTGTTGTACAATCCACACACACACAGTCAACTTTAATATGCAGGACTTTTAATATTCTGGACTTTTGTCATGAAAATAATACCTAATCATATACTCCTTTTAAGCATTCTAGTGCTCATCTCTTTCAGTGCAGTGTATATCAGTTATCCCCTTTGCTTAGTTTTCCCCCAACCCCAATGTCAGTCCTGTTTTATAACAGTGGAATTATACAGTATTTGTCTTTCTGTGACTGAGAATAATATCTTCCAGGGCCACCTATTTTGTATAACATTTCAAGAATTCCTTGTTCAGTACTGTATAGTATTCCATTGTATGAATATACAACAGATTCTCTAGCCATTAATTTGTTGATGGGCACTTGGGTTGCTTCCATCTCTTTTCTATTGTGAACAATGCAGCAATAAACATAAGTGTGCATATATCTGCTTGGGTGGCAGTTCTGATTTCTTTATATTCCCAGTAGTGGAATTGCTGCATCAGATGGTATTTCTATCTCTAACTTTTTGAGAAAGCACCATACTACCTTCCAGAGTGTTTGCACCATTTTACACTTCCACCAACAGTGAAAAATGGTTTCAGTTTCACCAGCCTTTGTTGTTTGTTACTCTGTTCAATTTTTGCTGGGGTGAGATGATAACTTATGGTTGTTTTGATTTACATCTCTCTTAGAGCTAGGAATTTTCAATATTTCTTCATGTGTTTGTATGCCATCGGAATGCCTTTTTTGGTGAAGTGTCTGTTCATATCCTGTGGCCATTTTGCGATTGGGTAATTTACCTTTTTGTGGCACTCAAGTATTCTATAAATTCTAGATATAAGTCCCTCATCAGACAGATCATTACCAGATATTTTTTTTCCCAATCTGTGGCTTCCCTTTTTTACCCTGTTGGAGAAGTTTTTTGATATTTATAGACAGTTTAGTTTTTAAACTGACATTCTTGCTCTTTAGCACTTTAAAGAAATCCTTGACAGATTTCCCCAATACAGTATATCTTTCTGTGTCTTGATAGCTGTTATTATGGTGTTGATTGTAGATCCAAGTAAAATGAAATCATCAACGATTTGAATTTTTTCTCTATCATATTGTTGTTGACTGGACTAGTGGCGAGGATTTTTATTTTCTTGATGTTAGATGTAATGCAGATTGAAGACGGTAGTCTTTGATCTTTAGACAGTTTCAATTATTCCTCACTTTCTACAAACAAGATTGTGTCATCTGTGTAATGAAGATTGTCGATGAATCTTCCTCCAATTCTAATGCTGTATTCATTATATCGTCCAGCCTTTCAAGTCATTTGCTCATCAGACAGATTAATAGGCAGAGAGAAAGGATATTACCCTGACATACATCTTTCTTAATTTTAAACCAGGTAGTATTCCCTTGTTCTGTGAGGATAACTGCTTCTTGATCTGTGTATAGATTTCACATGAGCACAATTAAGTGTTGTGAGATATCTGTTCTTCTCAGTTTTGTTCATATTGTTATCATCCACAGCTAGTCCTGCACAAACAATTCTGCATCTCTTTTGATTATAATGAATTTGCCTGGTATATGTATTTCCATCATTTTGCCTTTTTTTTTTATGGTGTTCGATTTTGAGGGACTCTGAATTATGGAATAGAGGATAGCCATGGGGAACTATGGACAAGCCAAAATCAACAATGAACTGTACACAGTAGAAAAATTGCTTCTCCCGTCATTTTGCCACCCCCCTAGCCAATTAGTGGGCTACCTGATACTGTGAACAGAGGAAGTGGTCTTATGAGAAAACCTTACTTCCCTAAACATTGTCTACATGACCTTCTATCCTAATCTGAGAAGCTAAATTCCTTGTGGGTGTCTTTGGCTTGTACCAGCACCTCCCACATCAGACGCTGTCACTTGCACTCTTATGCATATTGTTACAAAAGACCAGTACAGTGACATTTGTTCTCACATTCAAGGCTTTACCTCTTTTACCTACCACCTGGTTTATTTTGGGTATTTGTTTTTTGTTTATTGGTTTTTTAAATTTATATAATTTTTCCTTGATTAAAAATTTTAATCACGTTAAAGAGAATCTCAGTGTCCCTTAAGTATTAACTCTTCATTCCCTCTTTCCTCCAAACCCTGGTAACCACTAATAGACTTTTATTGCTTTTGAGAATGACTATCTGTATATAAATTTAATTTTATGAAAGTTGTCTCATACTGTAGTCTTTTGTGATGATTTATGTCAACTTGATGAAATTTGGTCTAGATTAGTCTATGTTGTGTAGTAGTTCACAAATCCTTGGTAGCTTTGGCTTAGTGGTAGAGATCTCTGTTGCCATCTTGAAGGTTCATGGTTTGAGCCAACCAGTTACTCCACCAGAGAAAGATGAGCATTCTCCTCTAATGAGATGTATCACCTCTGAAACCTCACTAGAGGGTCGGTTCTGACTTGACAGTAGTGAGAAATTGCTTGAATATTCCACATTTATCTGTTGGACCTGTGATATGTTTTCCAACTTTTGCTACTGTAAGAAATTTAGCAATAAACATGGTTGTGTGCACGCCACCCTATGTCATAGTATTTATGTCATCCTCAGAATCTGTGATGCCCTCAGAGAATTTGGTCACAATTACTCTGTCAAGGCTTTCTCCTTGCAGTTCTTCCTCTGTTTAGCTGGCATGTACATATTCAACCACTGTTAACTGTTTTTCAGCTTGTCAACAAATATGGAAACATATTCAGCATGGAAATTGGGCCTTTTCATTGTGTAATTGTAACTGGATTGCCCTTAATCAAAGAAGTCCTTTCAAACCCAGACCACGGCGTTGTGAATCGGCCTATTATACCTCTCCAAGAGCGTGTCTTTAAGAAAAATGGTAAGTTTCTTGAGTAAGAATACAACATTTGTGTGCTTGATGTTGTTTTGGGCTGTTAAAAAGTATCTTTATGATTGTAATTCTTCACAGCAACTCTCAGAGACAAGATTTATTACAAAATTTCTGCCATGGAAGTAAGGTAGAAGTCCATATTCTCAGATAAAAAGCACTTGCTGTGAGCATTTAGAGAACTCTAGTGATTAAGGGTGGAAGGAGGAGTGGCATCCACTTCCATAATAGCTTGCCTCCGGAAACCCTATGAACTTGGAGAGAGGATGAAAGGCACCCAAGCGTCGAGGACTCTCCTTCATGGGGTCGCTATGAGTCCTACGGCACTTAACAACAACAACAGTGATTAAGGAGTTGAGCTGCCAACCCAAAGGCAGGCAGTTCAAATCCACTAGTTTTTCCTCTAGAAGAGATGGACAATCTCCTCTCCTGCAGTGTGATACCTCTGAAAACCCACTGGACAGTTAATATGAGTTAGTTTTCACTTGACTACAAAGAGTTGTTGTTGTTTGTTTTTATTGTGATAATTTAGCACCATCAGTCCTATTATTAGGGATTTGGGAGAAGCTGCACCTCCTCCAGAAACTTACTGTAGATGTTTGCTAATCAGTTAACCAAATCATTCCATGAAAGCACAGAAGGGACAATATGTTCTGACATTTGACTTCCTCATTGTAAATTTCTTCCTCACAGAAAATGGATAGGGTTTTGCTGCTTCTGCTGCTCATCTACTTCTTTCCGCCTCCAGTTCAATGGGCTTCATCATAAAGGTCCATTCTATTGCTCTACCAAAACACAATGTTTACATGTCCTTCCCAATTACTTTTTAAATACTTGGTCCATTTGTTCCTTATCAACTCATTGCTTTTATCAATTGCCTACCATGTGAACCTGTGCACAAGGCATAAGGGATATACATTCTACTCAGAGAGAGACACACTACCAATTGGTTCTAATTTAAAGCCTAACATTTTAGTAAAATTAGTACGTCATGTACCTTTTAGGGGTTGTGTATCTAATATAGAGATTCAAAATTAGCACAAAGCAATAACAATATAAGAAGCTGAAAAGAGTAGAAAAGAAATCAGATGTAAGAATCAGTCACATATGGAAATAATTAAAGTGGGAAGAAGGTCAGCAAAATATAGGAATTGGAAAATGGCAATGTCATGAGAGCATAGAGAATAAACAGAAATAATGACAAAAGGTGAGGCAGCTGAGTTTGGCAAGAAATTGTTCATCTAGGTCCTTGTTAAATATATTTAGTTTTAGTCTAATAATTATTAGTTATTGCAAGGAAATACTGCATGGTTTAAAATTGGGAAGGTGTACACCAGGGACGTGTCCTGGCTCCATACCTTTTCAGTCTATATGCAGAGCAGATTATTTGGGAGACTGGGCTGTATGAGGAGAAATGTGGCATCAGGATTGGAGGTAGACTCATCAACAATCTAAGTTATGCAGATGACACAATCTCCCTTGCTGAAACTGAGGAGAACCTAAAGTGCTTTCTGCAGAAGATCAAGGACTGCAGCCTTCAATAGGGATTAAAGCACAACATCAAGAAAACAAAGATTGGCAGCATCATAATGGATGGTGAAGAGATCAAGACTGTTAATAGCTTCAGTTTGCTTGGCTCCATAATCAACACTCTTGGTATCAAGAGCCGGGAAATCAAAAGACAAGGAACCTCTCCAGCGTCCTGAAGAGCAATGATGTCAGTCTGGAAATTAAGGTGTGCCTGATACAGGCCATAGTCTTCACAATTACTTACTATGTCAGAAAGCTGGACAATGACTAGGGATAATGGAAGGATAATTGATGCCTTTGAGCTGTGGTCCTGGAGAAGAGTATTGAATGAACTGCTAGGAGAACAAACAAGTTCATCCTGGAGAGAGTGAAGCCAGTCTGCTCCTTGGAGGCAAGGATTCCTGACATACTTTGGGCATGTTGCAAGGAGGGACCCATCTTTGGAGAGGGACATTATGCTTGGGAGGGTGGAGATACAGCACAAGAGAGGAAGACCCTTAATGAGATGGATTGACTCAGTTGGTGGGGTAATGGGGGTCAGTGTGTCAGAGACAATAAGGTTGCCTCAGGATAGAGCAGAGTTCAGAGGTGCTGTACATAGTGTTGCTATGAGTTGCAAGCGACTTGATGGCACAGAACAACATCAGTTTTTTTTAGTGGAGAAGAGAATTATCATATATACACTGTACATGTTTTTATGTTCACTTAGCCTGAAAGTGGAGATTGTAATGAAAGGATCAAGAGTAGATGCTGAAAAATGCATTTAACCTTGGACTTGGTAATTGCTAAGGCATGACAGACAGTAGGTGAGATGAGACTAGTGACAGTGAAAGTGCATGAATTCAAGATATCCAGAAGGTAAATCTATTATGATAATATGAGTGAGATGTTAAGGGGTTGGGAGGAAAAGTGTTAAGGTGGATGATCCACTAGGTAGATCATGAAAGAAGAATTGGAGAAAGACAAGGTACCTGGTTTGGTTTCAATTGGTGGGACATTGTATAGTGAAAAGGAGGAATTTGGGAGATTTAATATTGTAGATGCTGATTTGGAAATGCCCTAAGTTGACAGAAATAGATTTTTAAAAAAAAATGTTACTGACAATTTTAAGAATAAATGAGATTTCTCAGAAATGGAATAGAGGGTGATAAGAGAATTCAGACCTCATCATAAAAAAAAAACATTGGTAATATCACAATTAGAATTAAAATGATATGGCAAAAGAGTTAATACCAGATTATCAAGAGGAAAATTTGGAGAATGTGGCAACTGAAGAACCATTGGAGGAGACTTTTATTTTAGTGATTATATTTTTTATTTTATATTAGAAGAGACTTTTAAAAAATATGATATGCAAAGAGATCAAGTGAGGCTTCTACCTTCTCCTGCATTCAATAAAGTATACTTCTCCACTGTGAAATCCAGTTATATTTTCAGCCTCACCTGATCGTAGTTGAGGAATGCTCTCCATGTGAAGAAATGGGAAGGAGTGTAGCGTTCGTGTGATACAAAGTAAATTGCCATCTGTTTAACATGCTGAGAGAGTTTTCTCCTTTTGCATCTTCTGTTTTTCTCTCTGCTTGGAATACATTACTGGCTTTTCTTCAGTTACTTTTCATCTTTCAGGACTTAGGTCTTAGGTAGACTTCCTTCTTCAAAACCTTTCCTGCTTCATTAAGGATATGAACTTTCTCTTGTCCTTGGCTGGATCTGAGTATTTGACAACACTCTCAATGAGCTCTTAAATAAACTGATGTTACATAAACTTTTGAATCACATAGCCTGAATATGACCTCACAAAGTTTGTCTTCTGTGCCACAGGTTTTTTCATCAGGATAATGGATCCCCCCATAATTAATCCTATTCCATACAGATTCCATGTGCGGTAAACACGTGCAGAATGCATGCAAAGTGTAATGACGTGTTTGGTATTGGCAGTCATTCAGTAGATGCTAGCCATTTTATCCATTGCTTTGGGATGATTTCTCTGAATATGTTTCAAGTGCTTTTCCTTCCTTCCATCTGATGCACATTCCAATATCTTTGTCAGATGTTCACATTATAGAATCAGAACACATAATACTGATACTCTTTTTCCACAGGATTGGTCATGTCCAATGGCCAGGAGTGGAAGGAGCAAAGAAGGTTTGCCCTGATGACTCTTAAGAACTTTGGTTTAGGAAAGAAGAGCTTAGAAGAACGCATTCAGGAGGAGGCCCACTACCTTGTCGAGGCAATACAGGAGGAGGAAGGTAAGGGTTTCCTAGGAGAGATGCAGGAGTCTGGGGCTCATTCATTCATCAGAGAGATCCTTATTAAGTACCTAAGTTGCTCTTTTGTTGCTGTTATTGCACTGAGCATGATATCTGTAACTTTAAACAGCCAGCTATCTTTGTGGACTGTATTGTAAGAGGACAGGCATTAAATACTGAAGAATTACTAGATTTAAAAGTTGGACGTAAGTGTGACTTCACAAACATTGTCTGAATGTTGTGTGCAGTATGGTGTAACTAGAGCTGTAGAACAAAGAAGGTATACCTAACATCTATCTCTTGAAAGATGAAAAAAGACTAGAGCAAGCCAGTAGGTGTATTGCAGGCAGAGAGAAAAACTGAAGATGTGGATTCTATGAACAGCATTATAACTTGTATATGGTATGTCATACAGAACAGACTTTCCCTAAAAAGAAGAAACAAATCAATCTGAAGGAGCCTTCTCTTTCTTTCTCTTCCTCCAGGACAGCCTTTTGACACTCACTTCAAGATCAACAATGCAGTTTCCAATATCATTTGCTCCATTACCTTTGGGGAACGATTTGAGTATGGAGATGCCCAGTTTCAGGAACTGCTGAGGTTGCTGGATGAAATCCTACATCTGCAAGCTGGAGTGTCCTGCCACGTAAGCCATTTTCTTCTCTAACATTTCTAAGGTTATCAGGCTGTTAGGAGACTTGGAAGAATTCTTAATTTTTTTTTTTTACTTATTTGCTGAAATACAACCTTTATCATTACCTTAAATAAAATTGAAATCCATCTTTCTTGATTTTTTTTTAAATGTTGTTTTATGTGCAGTGAAGGCAAAGCTGACTCTGCTGACTTGCCAGCAAGGAATATTTCTAATGTTGATATAAGGCATCACATTTCATAATTCATACTCCTCTGCACTTATGTCCTTGGAAAAGAGAGAGAAAGCTAGCGAAAGAGAAGAAAATCATCAAGGGACAGACTGGCACAGTGATCGCAGCAATGAGGTTAATCATGTCATAGGCCACGAGAATAGTATAGAATAGGCAAAACTTCAATCTATTGTTCATATGTTGACTGTAAGTCAAAGTCAAATCAGCAACACCTGACAACAACACCACTACACACCTATGTTGTTCTTTTTTTCTTTTTTTTGTATTGTATTTTGTTGTACATTTTATTCCTCTCTTTACTTTTCCTACCCTAGCCCTTCTCATAACGCACCCCTTGTTCTAGACTGTCATCAAACATATAATGCCTAATAATACATTCTTTTTGGACAGTTCTTACCTTCATCTGTTTTAATCCAATATTCATTATCGATCCACTTTTTCCTACTCTTTTTCCAACCTTTCCAAGTCTGTCCTCTTTTATAACAGTGGTGTTATGCAGTATTTATCTTTTCTTTTTGACTGAGATATTTATCTCAGCATAATGTGCTCCAGCTCCCCCATGTTGTGTAAGGTTTTATGAGTTTGTTGTCTTTCAGTGTTGCATAATATTCCACTATGTGAATGTACCATAGTTTTTATATCCATTCATTTGTTGAAGGGCACTTGGGTTGCTCCCATCTCTTTGCTATTATTAGTAACACAGCAATAAACATGGTGTGCATTCATGTGTTTTAATTGTGGCTGTGGTTTCTTTAGGTTATAATCCTAGTAGTGGAATTACTGGGTTAAATGATATTTCTGTTTCCAACTTTTTTGAGGAAGTGCCAGACCACTTTCCATAATGGCTATACCATTTTACATTCCCATCAGCAGTAAATAAGGGTTCTGATCTCTCTACAACCTTGCCAGCATTTGTTGTTTTCTGGCCTGCTAAATTTTGCTATTGTTGCTACGATAAGATGATATCTCATTGTTGTTTTGATTTCCATCTCTCTGGTAGCTAGGGATTGTGAACATTTCTTCATGAGTTTGTTTGCCATCTAAATGTGTTCTTTGGTGAAGTGTCTAATCATATTGTAGGCCTATTTTGTGATTGAACTGTTTACCTTTTTCTTGTTGAGATGTTGGAGTATTCTATAAATTTTAGATGTGAGTCCCTTATCAGACATGTAATTGTTAAATATTGTTTCTCCAGTCTGTAGGTTTCCTTCTTACCCTGTTGGACACGTTTTTTGATGTGCATAGAGATGATTCTTAGAAGGTCCCATTCATCTATTTCTTTCTCTCTTGGTTGTAGGTTTTTCATTATGCTAGGAAGATTGTTCATCCCGTGGATTAGAACTTCTAGATTTATTCCTAGCTTTTCTTTGATATATTTTGTAGTCTTTGGTTTTACTTCTAGGTTCCTGATCCACCTTGAGTTGGTTTTTGTGTATGGTGTAAAGTGTGGGTCTTACTTAAATTTTCTGCAGATGGTTTTCCAATTTTATCAGCATCATTTGTTAAAGAGACTGAATTTTCCTACTTAACTGATTTAGTCTCCTTGACAGAATGCAGATGACCATAGGTAGATGAGTTGATTTCTGGGTTCTCAACTTGATTCCATTGATCTATGTATCTGTTGCTGTACAAGTACCAAGCTATCTTGACCACCACATCCGTGTGATGATATTTGAGATCAGGGAGTGTGATGCCTCCTACCTTGTTTCTCTTTTTCAGTAGTGTTTTGCTTATTCAGGGTCTCTTTCCATTCCAGATAAAATTATAAATTGCCTGTTACATCTCATTGAGGCTTTGTTGTTCCTTTTGAAGAAAACAGTGCTACCATTATCTCACAGCAAGAAGTCTCTCTTTTACATGTCCCTTTCTAATGCCATCTGATTTCCTCTAAGAAATTTAGAAGATAGTATCAAGGCCAATGAACCTGAAAAGATTGATATATATGTCCATTTTAAAGAAAAGTAATCCAATAAAATGTTAAAATTATTTGGACAATATTGCTAATATCACATGCAAGTAAAATTTACCTAAGTTAAATAATCATTTTAGAAGTTATTGACTCTGCAAGACATTTCACTGTGGAGATCAAAACAATATCCCATTTGATTTATAAAATAAAGAAACCCAGAATAAACAAAAGTGTTCTGAAAAACTATAATGAAGTAGGAGTAATCAAAAGAGTGTGGTGTTGGTACAATGACAAACACGTGGACCAGTGGAATTTATCAAGAACCCAAAATCAGACTATCTATCTATCTATCATAAATTAGTATTTGAAAAAGAAATAAAACCCATTAAAAGGGGAAATGGCAGCCTCTTTAACAAATAGTGCTGGTGAAATTGGACATTAATATGCAGCAAACGGAAACAGGATCCTTGGAAACCAATTTAAAGTAGTTCAGAGACTTAGGGGTAAAACCCAAAACCATAAATATCTTAAGAGACAAAATGGGAACAAATTAAAAACCATCATCTAAGTAATAAATAGGCTTGCAAACTTAGCCAACAATGTGCAGTCAGGAGAAGGTAAAATCAACAAACAGGACCTTCATAAAATCAACTCCTTGTGCTTATCAAAAATTTCTCCAATAAAAAAAAAAATTTCTCCAATAGAGTTGAAAGAAAGTTCACAGACTGGGAAAGCGATTTGGCAATGACATTTCAGATAAGGATCTCATAACTAAAGTTTGCTATTTACTTTTGACTACTGAACCCTTCAGTTTATTGTTGTTGATATTTGTCTGTGGATGATTTCAGACACAAAATTCTTTCATATATAAATAATGGTAGCTTTTTAAATTCTTTTGCAATCCTTATACTATTTCTTCTGCTTGCTTGTTTTATTGTACTGGTCAGTGTAGGGATTATGATGATACTGAATGGTAGAAAAGTTGGTGATATGTAAGCAAGGACCTGTATCTGCAGTTGTTGAGAGGTTCTTCCAGGTAATCACATACAAGTATATTCTAAGGATAATAGAAAATGATTGGAGGCTTGAGAACCAAGGAGTGAAATAGTCTAATTAAACTGTTACATGAGCACTGGGGAATAGGCTAAAAGATTAATGATGGGATGAGGACAACTTTGAGTCTTTTACAACTTCTAGACGATATATGATGGTGTTTCATTCCAGTCTCTTTGAACGTAATAGGGTTGGTGAAAAAGTGGTCTTAGACTAACATATTTTGAATAGAGACCAACAATGGTTTTGTAGAACAAAGAGAGAGAAAAGTTTGCATGTAAGTTTGCAATAATGAAGAGTGATAAGATTATTTCTGTTTTCTGAAAATGGGGGAAAGAGGCAATAGGCTGTCTCTATGTTTTGTTTTTATCAATCAGTTCTACAACATCATTCCATCAATAATGAACTTCCTTCCTGGATCTCACCAAACAGTCATTAAAAACTGGGATAAATTGAAACTGTTTGTTTCTCGCGTGATTGACGACCACAAGAAAGACTGGAATCCTGATGAGCCTAGAGACTTCATCGATGCTTACCTCACGGAAATGACGAAGGTGAGGAAATCACAGGTGTTTCCTATGTTTTTCTTTCTCTCAGAGCAAATAGGAGTGGTGGTGGCTATATGTTTTCTGTTATTTTCTGTGATAAATGATCATAATTGAGTATCATAGAAACAAAAATAATTCTCCTACAGTTGTAGAGGCCGCAAGTCTAAAATAAATTTCATGGGTTGAGGCAGCAGTAGTCCTGGTTACCTTTGGACACTCTGGGGAGAATTTCTTTTTCCTTACTTTGTCTAATTTTAAAGGCTATCTGCAGGTCATTGGGTCATATTTCTTCTCTCATTGTCTAAACAAAGGGATAGCATCTTCTCCCCTCTGTGACCACTGCTGCTTTCTGGCCTTACAGATACTTTTTTAGTCCTCTCTTGCCTCCCTCCTATATTCCCTTCTTAAGATCATCTGGATAATCCAGTATGAAATCCTTACATTAAGGTGAATAACTTAATCATGTCTCTGAAGTATCTTTTCTATTAACCTTATAGCTTAGAGGTAAGGGATTGTGCTGCCAGCACCAAAGTACATGGTTTGAATCCACCAGCTGTCAATGGAGGAAAAATGGACAATCTCCTCCCATATGATTTACTGCCTTTAAAACTCATTAGAGGTCAGTTATGGGTTAATTCCGACACAGGGGTACACAACAACAACAACAACAACATAACTATACACTTGTCTCTGAATCATAGTGGTTCCTCCCAATAGCATAGAATAGGAAAGGTTGAACAAAGTACAATAACAAAATGAACAAAAGAATTGGAATCAGAAAATCAAAAGTGAAGAATTTTCTTGGTATCTCTCAGGCTGAGAGAACAGAAGAACAAATTCAAGCCTGATATTGTAGGATGCTACAAGAACTATCATAAGAAATGTAAGGAATACTAGAATCACTGTACCAAAAAGAATTGACTGACGTACCATTTCAGGAAGCAGCATATCATCAAGAACCAATGATAGTTAAGGAAGAAGTTCAAGCTGTCCTGGAAGAATTAACAAAAGAAAGAGGACTCGGGAATTGGTGAAATACTAATTCATTTATTTCAACCTGCATATGCTGCCCTGGACTGACCACAGTGCCCACCCGTCTGTGCCAGGAAAACTGGGGAAAAAGGTACCTGGCCAACTAACTGGAAGAGATCCATATTTATCCTCATTCCCTAAAAAAAGATGATCCAATAGAATGTGAAAATTACTGAGAAATATCATTAGTATCACATGCAAGCAAAATCTTGTAGAAGATTATTTAAAAATGACTAGAATGGTACAACTACGGAGAACTTCCAGAAATTCAAGGTGAATTTAGAAGAGGCCGTGGCACCAGAAGGATATTGCTGTGTTTTATTGACTATACAAAAGTATTTGACTGCAGGAATCACAAGAAATTATGGTTAACTTTGAGAAAATAAGAAACTCAGAACACTTCATTGTGCTCATGTGAAACCTTTACTTAAACCAAGTGACTGATGCTTGAAAATAGCAAGGAAGTAATGTATGATTTAATATCAAGAAATGTGTGAATCAGGCTGTTGCCTTTCTTCATACTTATTCAATATGTACACTAAACTAATCATTCAAGAAACCAGACTTTATGAAGAAGAATGTGACATCATGGTTGGAGGGGACTCATCAACAACTTGTACCATGGAGATGATGCAACTTTGCTCACTGAAAGTGAGGAGAACTTGAAGCACTCACTGCAGAATATAAAAAATTACTACAGCCTTCTATATGAATTACATTTCAACAGCAAGAAAACAGAAATCCTTACCACCAGGCCAACAGCAGGCAGCATCATGATAGAGAAAAGATTGAAACTATCAACTATTTCATCCTACTTGGATATACAATCAAAACCCTTGGTGCCAGCAGTCAGAAGTAAAAAAAATGAATCGCTAGGAAAATCTGCTCTCAGGGACCTCTCTGTATTATTACAGAGTGACAATGTCAGTTTGAAGCCTAAGGTATGTCTGACTCAAGCTATGGTCATTTCAGTTGCTTACTATGCATCTGAAGGTTGAACAGTGACTAAGGATGACAGAAGAAGAATCAATGCCTTTGGGTTTTGGTGTCGGAGAAGATTACTGAGTATTCCATGGACTGCGAAGAGGACAAGCAGATCTGTCTGGAAGAAAGTGAAACCAGGAGGGAAAGTGAAACCTTAGAGTCAATGATGGTGAAGCTCCATCTCACATGTTAGAAGGGGCTAAGCTTTGGAGAACAACCTGCTTGGGAATGTAGAAAGTCAGCAAAAGAGAAGAAGACCACAACAAGATGAACTGGCACAGTGACTGTAACAGTGGGCTTCAGTGTATCAGAAGGGATGAGAGTGCACAGGATAGGGCAGTGTTCAGATCCATTGTTCATGGGGTCACTGTAAGTTGCAGACACATAACAAGTACAGTTTATCTAATAAAATTGTACATGAAAGTAAAAAAAAATGTACATGAAAGCACTGTTCTGTAAAAGGAGACCTTATGGCTCTATGGTTAAGGGACTCAGCTTCTAACCAAAAGGAATCAGGTTTGGCCCACCATCCACACCCATGGAAGAAAGAGATAAATGATTATAACCTTGGAAACTCTATTGGGTCACTGTCTAAGGTCACTATGAGTCAGAAGAGGTTATTTCCATTTTACAGAATAGGAAATAGAAGCAGAGAGAGATTAAAACTCTTACTCTAGGTCATCCAGTTGGTAAAAATGTGGCTTTTGAACTCAAGTCTTTCATAGCCCATTCTCATTCCACTGTAACACTTTCTTCTCAAATTATAGCTATAAGAAAATGATTATTTTCATTTACTTTTCTCATTTAGATCAAGATAATGAAAGCAATAGTCATTACTGATGTAATACTTTGTGTCTCTCTATAAAGCCAAAGAAGGAGATAGTTATTTTTCCTAAGACCTTTCATTCTAAACTTCTTCCCCAAGAAGACATACTGTTGTTTTGGGCAGCAATTTAATTACTTAGTAAATATTGTTCTTTCTAGTACACAGACAACACTAACTCAAGTTTCCATGAAGAAAACCTTGTTTGCAGCACTTTAGATCTGTTCTTGGCTGGAACCGAGACAACTTCTACAACTCTGCGCTGGGCTTTGCTTTACATGGCACTGAACCCAGAAATTCAAGGTGAGCAAGTGCTTGGATGTTCCTGGACAAGAATAGGTACTTCCTGAAATAGTGTCCTGAGTTGAAACCAGAAGATTAATGATGGAATGAAAAGGGATGAGGTGGAACAATCACATAGTAAACTTAGGAGCAATTGCATTCTTTCCTTTTTCTGTCAGGGATTGCTGTGCGTCTTGATGATGCAAGTAAGTTGTCTCTTACCTTAAGAAGCGAGTTCTGGTCGCGTATAGAGTTAAGTATTGCTCTCAGCCAGGATAGCAGC